GAGACAGCACAGAGGCACTGATCATGGCAGCACAAGAACAGGCCCTAGGTACAAGAGCCATAGAGGCCAAGATCTACAAGAGTAGATCTGACCCAAGGTGCAGACTATGCAAAGATGCCCCTGAGACAGTCCAGCACATAGTAGCAGGGTGTAAGATGCTAGCCGGGTCAGCGTACATGGAGAGACACAACCAAGTGGCTGGAATAGTGTACAGGAACATCTGTACCCAGTATAGAATAGAAGTACCAAAATCCCAATGGACCACACCACAGAAGGTGGCTGACAACAACAGGGCCAAGGTGCTGTGGGACTTCAGCTTCCAGACTGACAAACAGGTCCTGGCCAACCAACCGGACATAGTGGTGGTAGACAAGGAGCAGAAGAAGGCGGTGCTGATAGATGTGGCCATACAGACGCCAACATCAGAAAGAAGGAACACGAAAAGGTTGAAAAGTACCAAGGGTTGAAAGAACAGCTGGAGCAGATGTGGAAGGTCAAGGTATAATACAGAGTATATTATACACTGTGTATTATACTGTATAATACACTGTATAACACACTGTACACAGCTTATTCACAGTCCCCTGATACCTGTGTAACTTATTCCTTTATTATTCATAAGCTTTCACTGGGATTGTTAGCATTATGTTAATGCTTCTCTGCTTCCTGTCAGTGAGTAAACTGACTATTTTTTCTGTATGTTTCATATTCTATTGATCAATATCAATTACAGTAGAGAACAGCTGATAAACAGTACAATGATCCCAAACAGTGAACTCAGTAACTGCACAATATTCTCACCTTCCATAACCCCGTCAACCCAACAGACACTCTGACACACTGACTCACTGAAATCAAATCATAGATGCCAACTTCCTGAAACGCAACTGTGACAAATCTGAAATAAACATCATCGGTTCCAAATCTCTCATCAAAAACACGAACAACTTCAGCCTCACCATTGACAGCAGCACCATGCCTCCCTCCCCACACATCCACAACCTCAGACTCATCTTCCACAGCAACCTTTGAACACATCAACCAAATCACCAGAACTGCTTTCTTCCACCTAAAAAACATTGCACGCTTCCTCCCCTCACTCTCCTCTTCTGCTGCTGGACCCTCATCCACTTTTCATCACATCCAGAACTGACTATTGCAACAGCATCTTATATGGTACATCTTCTAAAGTCCTTAATCAGTACATCTAGAACTCACCCATACCCGCTCCTGGACCACATCACTCCTGTCCTCCAGAACCTCCACTGGCTTCTCCAGAACCTCCACTGGCTCCTACAGAACCTCCACTGGCTTCTCCAGAACCTCCACTGGCTCCTACAGAACCTCCACTGGCTCCTACAGAACCTCCACTGGCTCCCTGTCCAACAAAGGATCAAATTTAAAGTCCTTCTCCTCACTCACAAACCCCTCCACAACCAGTACCCCTCCACAACCAGGCCTCCTCCACAACCAGGCCCCCACCATGCTGTAGCCAACCTCCTGTCTCCCCCACTGAGGACCAAGCATCGTACCTGGACAGAGCCTTCTCCATAGCTGCCCAATCCCTCTGGAACACATCAGAGACTGTACTAATCCATCCACCTTCAGATCACTGATCAATACCCAGCTCTTCAGAACTGCTTTTAATGATTCATTCATTGTTGAGTGGTATATATATATTTATATCTATATATTTTAGTGTGTTGGTTTTATTACCTTTTCCTTTTTAACTTATGTAAAGCAACTCTATATTTAAAAGATATTATTATTATTATTATTATTACCTGTCTCCACCAGGCGGGTGTCCTCTTTGATGTGGACGGCGTCCTGCTCCGTGGTGGCACGGTGATCCCGGCTGCTCGACGAGCATTTCAGAAGCTTCTGGACCGAAACAACAACTTCCTGTTTCCTGTAGTCTTTGTCACTAACGCAGGAAGCTGCCAGAGACATCACAAGGCCCAGCAGCTGTCTCACCTGCTGGATTTCCAGGTAGGACAGACGGATGGAGAACAGAGCGCTTACAGATGATTGGCTGTGCATGTACACGGGCCATAATACTCACATATTCTTGCTGTGCTGTGATTGGATAAACACATTCATGTGACCTCCCTCTCTCTCTCTCTCTCTCTCTGTAGATTGCCCCGGAGCAGGTGGTTCTTTCCCACAGTCCTTTGCGAATGTTGAAGAGTTTCCACGATAAATGTGTCCTGGTGTCTGGACAGGGACCAGTTACGGACATCGCAAACACGTATCCTTTATTATAATAATATAATTACAACAATAATGCTAATGTTAACAATAATAACAATAATAATAATGTTAACAATAATAACAATAATGTTAATTATAACAATAATAATAATCTTAACAATAATAACAATAATGTTAATTATAACAATAATAATAATGTTGCGGTCTCTGACGCAGTTCATAATTTGTGCGGAGCCGCTAAGCAGTCAGTGATGTTTATGACGCGCGGGTTTACTTTCTTTACTTAAACGTTTATTTGCTTTTAGATACTTTACATTTCTCTTTACCACGGTCAAAAAACTGTGTCCCCTTACTACTCCCGGCAGCTGAATCCAAAACACCTGTGTGATCACCTGGTATACTTAAGGTGAAAGGAGGTGGGGCTACATAGGAACTAACATGAATCTGTGAATCTGTGCCCGTTATTGCCAAAGCACCCCGTGTCACAGATTGACTAGATCAGGATAATTTATTCTAATATCATATCATTATCATTATTATCATTATGACTATAATCATACTAACAAAAGAAATAACAAAAATAGCAAAAATGGCTCCAACAAATAATGTTAACAATAATAATAATGTTAACAATAATAACAATAATAACAATAATAATAATGTTAACAATAATAACAATAATAATAATGTTAACAATAATAATAATAACAATAATAACAATAATAATAATGTTAACAATAATAATAATGTTAACAATAATAACAATAATAATAATGTTAACAATAATAACAATAATAATAATATTAACAATAATAATAATGTTAACAATAATAATAACAATAATAATAATGTTAACAATAATAACAATAATAATAATGTTAACAATAATAACAATAATAATAATGTTAACAATAATAACAATAATAATAATGTTAACAATAATAATAATGTTAACAATAATAATAATGTTAACAATAATAACAATAATAACAATAATAATAATGTTAACAATAATAACAATAATAATAATAATGTTAACAATAATAACAATAATAATAATTTTAGCAAAAACAATACAATCCCAGTGTTGACACTGGCTCGGTCCCTAATAATTGGTGAGGAGTGTGTTTCCTGCGTTTGACGTCCTGACCGCGGCGCCGTCAGTTTGGGTTTTCAGAAGGTCGTGAGCATCAAACAGCTCAGAGAACATCACCCCCTGCTGGACATGGTGGACCACAACAGGAGACCCAAACTGCCTGTGAGTGCTCTACCTGGGACAGGTGACTGTTGCTAGGAGACATCTGCAGCATCATAAAAGTATTGATCGTATTGACATTGATACAGTGGTTTAAAGCGTTCTATCATTATAAGTCAGTATTACAATCCAGAAACATCACCTTATCAATTGTAATCAATCAATAATTATAATCAATATCATAAAAATAAACAATAATTACAATATTACAGTACAAATATTACTTTTGAATAGAGTTACAAATAATAAATTACATGTTTTGAGTAACTAGCCCAACACTGAAGAAGATTCAGAAACAGGAAGTAGGAATATCCAATGACAATATGAAGGATTTATTATTATTATTTAGTAAGTTTTACATTATTTTGTCTGTTTCAGTCGTCTCATCTGAAGATTCTCCCTAAAATAGAAGGTACGGTAGGTTTTAAAAGAAACAGAAGAAGAAAGAATGACTCCCTCTTTCATTTTACTGGCCTTTATTTTGTTGACTTTTCTCGCTGACTTCCTGCGTTGCCGTAGCGATCATCTTGTTCGGGGAGCCAATCAGATGGGAGACCAACCTGCAGCTGCTGATTGACGTGCTGTTGACCAATGGGAGTCCTGGCTGCATGTACGACCCTCAGCTGTCCGCCCAGCTGCCCGTACTCGCCTGCAACATGGACCTGATGTGGATGGCAGAGGCACCATCACCACGGTAACCAACACAACTTCCTGTTAGCTCTCAGGTGGAGGACGTGGCTCTGATTATTATTATATTATATACAGTCAAGCCCAAAATTATTCATACCCCTGGCAAATTTTGACTTTAAGTTACTTTTATTCAACCAGCAAGTTTTTTCTTGATTGGAAATGACACAGGCGTCTCCCAGAAGATAATAAGACGATGTACAAGAGGCATCATTGTGGAAAAAATTCTTTCTCAGCTTTTATTTACATTTGAACAAAAAGTGGCATGTCCAAAGTTAATCATACCCTTTGCAAACTGTCACAGTGGGAAAATCTAATGTTCTATACCATTCCAAATAGTCCAAGCTGTTCTAAAGCATCCTAATTACCCTGATTCATTGGGAACAGTTGTTTTAATCAACTCAACGGGTGAAAAACAGCAGCTCTCTGCAGTTGGTTTGTGGACAGTCATGGCTAAGACAAAGGAGCTCACTGAGGACCTGCGGCTGCGCATTGTGGCTGCTCACAAGTCAGGAAAGGGCAATAAGGCCATATCTAAATGTTTTAAAGTTCCAGTGGCTACAGTCAGTCAGGGGTGGCTATAAGGCTCAGAGGCAGAGCAGGCCGTCCCCTGATCGGAAGGTTGGTGGTTCAATCCCTGGCTCCTCCTGTCACATTTTGAAGTATCCTTGGACAAGATACTGAACCCCAAACTGCTCCTGATGCTGTGCATTGGTGTGTGAATGTGTTAGTTTTTATTCTATGGGCTTTGTCATCGCTGTGTGAATGTGTGTGAAAGGGTGAATGTAGCATGTCGTGTAAAAGCTCTTTGAGTGGTCGGAAGACTAGAAAGGCGCTATACAAGTACAGGTTCATTTACCATTTACAGTGCAAAGTATTATTAAAAAATAGAGGACGTGGTCAGAAGCCAAAAGTGACACCTGTGCTGGCCAGGAGGATAGTGAGAGAGGTGAAAAAGAATCCAAGGATCACCACCAAGGTCATCCTGGTAAATCTGGGCTCTGCTGGTGGCAACGTCTCAAGGCAGACAAGGAGGACGCCACTTCTCCAGATAAGGCACACAAAAGTACGCTTGGCCTTTACAAATGCTCATCTGGACAAAGACGAAGACTTCTGGTCTTCTGTTTCAGAACGCTGCAGCACGAGTACTGACAGGAACTAGAAAAAGAGATCACACCTCTCCTGTACTAGCTTCTCTGCATTGGCTCCCTGTAACATTTAGAATAGAATTTAAAATCCTCCTCCTCACCTACAAAGCTCTTCATGGTCAGGCCCCTTCATATCTTAAAGAGCTCATAGTACCCTATTACCCCTCTAGAACACTACGTTCTCTGAATGCTGGGCTACTTGTGGTTCCTATAGTCTCTAAAAGTAGAACAGGAGCCAGAGCCTTCAGTTACCAAGCTCCTCTCCTGTGGAACCAGCTTCCAGTTGTGGTTCGGGAGACAGACACCCTCACCACATTCAAGAGTAGGCTTAAGACATTCCTCTTTGATAAAGCTTATAGTTAGGGCTGGATCAGGTGAGTCCTGAACCATCCCTTAGTTATGCTGCTGTAGGCCTAGACTATCGGGGGATTTCCCATGATGCACTGAGCTCCTCCCTTCCTCTCTCTTTCTGCACTCATTCATGTCCCATTAATGCATGTTACTAACTTCACTTCTTCCCCAGAGTTCTTGTGCTTTCTCGTCTCGTAGGTTCTCATGGATCCTGGTGGAGCCTCCTGCCATGGTCCTGCTAGGTTGCCATTGCCAATACTGTTGTTGCTGTGCACCCGTCTGTCTGTCTGTCTGTCTGTCTGTCTCTCTCTCTCTCTCACCCCAACTGGTCGAGACAGACAACCACCCACCTAGAGCCGAAGGATCTGTCCAAGCTTTCTGCCTTTTAACAGGCAGTGTTTCCTTGCCCTTGTCTCCAAGGTCTTGCTCATGGTGGTACTGTTGGGTCTCTGTAATCAATGTTTTAAAGAGTTCGGTCTAGACCTGCTCTATTTGAAAAGTGTCCTGAGATAACTTCTGTTATGAATTGGCCCTATGCAAATAAAATTGAATTGAATTGAATTGTTTTATGGTCAGATGAAACAGAACTTGAATTATTGGCCACAATGATGTATCCTTCATTTGGCGTAAAAAAGGAGAAGCCTTCAACCCTAGGAACACCATCCCCACTGTCAAACATGGTGGTGGGAACCTAATGCTTTGGGGGGGGTTTTCAGCCAATGGACCAGGGAATTAGATTCCACAGTAAACAGCACCATGAAAACAGAGCAATACATCAAGATTGTCAACAACATCATCATCATTCAGTCTGCAGAGAAACTTGGCCTTGGGCACCAGTGGACATTTCAGCACCACAACGAACCAAAACACACAGCAACAGTGGTGAAGAAATGGTTAGCGGACACAAACATTAACGTTTTGCAGTGGCCCAGCCAGAGTCCTGACTCGAATCCAATTGAGAATCTGTGGAGGGAGCTAAAAGATCAGGGTGATGGCAAGGAGACCCTCCAACCTGAAAGAGTTGGAGCTCATCGCTAAAGATGTTTGGGCAAAAATACCAGTGGAGACTGAAGCTGGTCAGCGATTCTAGGAAGCGTTTGATTGCTGTAATAGCCAATAAAAGCTTTTCTATTGATTATTGAGAAGGTATGAATAATTTTGGACATGCCACTTTTTGTTCAAATGTAAATAAAAGCTGAGAAAGATTTTTTTCCACAATGATGCCTCTTGTACATCGTCTTATTATCTTCTGGGAGACGCCTGTGTCATTTCCAATCAAGAAAAAACTTGCTGGTTGAATAAAAGTAACTTTAAGTCAAAATTTGCCAGGGCTATGAATAATTTTGGGCCTTACTGTATATATGTATATGTATGTGTGTGTGTATATGTGTGTGTGTGTGTAAATATATATATATATATATATATATACACATCTCATATCTCCTGTTGATCAGTTTTGACCCTGCCTGACGTAGGTTTGGTCACGGGATGTTCATGCTGTGTCTGGAGTCCGTCTACAGGAAGCTGACGGGTCGAGAGCTTCAGTATCAGGCACTGCTGGGAAAACCCAGTCTGCTCACATACCAGTACGCCGAGCATCTGCTGAGACTGCAGAACCACAACCACAAGCTAACCACCATCTACGCTGTCGGGTAACCACAATGTCCATAACACCGTCTACGCCGTCGGGTAACCACACCGTCAATAACACCGTCTACACCGTCGGGTAACCACGATGTCCATAACACCGTCTACACCGTCGGGTAACCACGATGTCCATAACACCGTCTACGCCGTCGGGTAACCACACCGTCCATAACACCGTCTACGCCGTCGGGTAACCACACCGTCCATAACACCGTCTACGCCGTCGGGTAACCACGATGTCCATAACACCGTCTACGCCGTCGGGTAACCACACCGTCCATAACACCGTCTACGCCGTCGGGTAACCACACCGTCCATAACACCGTCTACGCCGTCGGGTAACCACGATGTCCATAACACCGTCTACGCCGTCGGGTAACCACGATGTCCATAACACCGTCCATAACACCGTCTACGCCGTCGGGTAACCACGATGTCCATAACACCGTCTACGCCGTCGGGTAACCACGATGTCCATAACACCGTCTACGCCGTCGGGTAACCACGATGTCCATAACACCGTCTACGCCGTCGGGTAACCACGATGTCCATAACACCGTCCATAACACCGTCTACGCCGTCGGGTAACCACGATGTCCATAACACCGTCTATGCTGTCGGGTAACCACACCGTCTACGCCGTCGGGTAACCACACCGTCCATAACACCGTCTACGCCGTCGGGTAACCACACCGTCCATAACACCGTCTACGCCGTCGGGTAACCACACCATCCATAACACCGTCTACGCCGTCGGGTAACCACGATGTCCATAACACCGTCTACGCCGTCGGGTAACCACACCATCCATAACACCGTCTACGCCGTCGGGTAACCACGCCGTCCATAACACCGTCTACGCCGTCGGGTAACCACGCCGTCCATAACACCGTCTACGCCGTCGGGTAACCACGCCGTCCATAACACCGTCTTCTTCTTGTTGCCTAGTGACAACCTGATGACTGATATCTACGGTGCTAACCTCTACAACCGTTACCTGGCTCAGCAGCACACTGCCATGACAACCACTGCCAAGCTTGTTGCCCGTGGAACGGGCAGTCAGGTGACAATGGCGATGCCAGAGGAGGAGTTGGTGTCTGAGGCTGCTCAGTGTCGCTCCATACTGGTAGGCAGAGGGCTGGTTGATTTCTATGGTTCTGTCCATCATTTCTATCAGAAATAATCAATATCTAGTTGTACATATAATCAATATGTACCTATCCTCAGGTGTGCACAGGTGTCTATAACCCCCGCTCCCCGTTGCCTAGCCACCAGAGCAGTGAGGTCACAGAGATGGTAGTCCACGGTCACAGAGACCTGGTCCTGGAAAGAGACCTGATGGAGCCAAGTCACGTGGTAGAGGACGTGGAAGCTGCTGTAGACCTGCTGCTGCAGCAGGAGAGTGACCTCTGACCTAGCTGTTAGCTCTGTTAGCACTGTTAGCTCTGTTAGCTCTGTTAGCTCTGTTAGTTCTGTTAGCACTGTTAGTTCTGTTAGCTCTGTTAGTTCTGTTAGCTCTGTTAGTTCTGTTAGCTCTGTTAGTTCTGTTAGCTCTGTTAGCTCTGTTAGTTCTGTTAGCTCTGTTAGCACTGTTAGTTCTGTTATCTGTTAGCTCTGTTAGCACTGTTAGTTCTGTTAGCTCTGTTATCTGTTAGCTCTGTTAGTTCTGTTATCTGTTAGCACTGTTAGCACTGTTAGTTCTGTTATCTGTTAGCACTGTTAGTTCTGTTAGCTCTGTTATCTGTTAGCTCTGTTAGTTCTGTTAGCTCTGTTATCTGTTAGCTCTGTTAGTTCTGTTATCTGTTAGCACTGTTAGCACTGTTAGTTCTGTTATCTGTTAGCTCTGTTAGCACTGTTAGTTCTGTTAGCTCTGTTATCTGTTAGCTCTGTTAGTTCTGTTATCTGTTAGCACTGTTAGCACTGTTAGTTCTGTTATCTGTTAGCTCTGTTAGCACTGTTAGCTCTGTTAGCTCTGTTAGCTCTGTTAGTTCTGTTAGTTCTGTTAGCTCTGTTAGCACTGTTAGCTCTGTTAGCACTGTTAGTTCTGTTAGCTCTGTTAGCACTGTTAGTTCTGTTAGCTCTGTTAGCACTGTTAATTCTGTTAGCTCTGTTAGCTCTGTTATCTGTTAGCTCTGTTAGTTCTGTTATCTGTTAGCACTGTTAGCTCTGTTAGTTCTGTTATCTGTTAGCTCTGTTAGCACTGTTAGTTCTGTTAGCTCTGTTAGCACTGTTAATTCTGTTAGCTCTGTTAGCTCTGTTAGCACCGTTAGCTCTGTTAGCACTGTTAGTTCTGTTAGCTCTGTTAGCACTGTTATCTGTTAGCTCTGTTAGCTCTGTTAGTTCTGTTAGCACTGTTAGTTCTGTTATCTGTTAGCTCTGTTAGCTCTGTTAGCACTGTTAGCTCTGTTAGTTCTGTTAGCTCTGTTAGCTATGTTAGCTCTGTTATTTCTGTTAGCTCTGTTAGCTATGTTAGCACTGTTAGCACCGTTAGCACTGTTATCTGTTAGCCTGTTAGTTCTGTTAGCTCTGTTATCGTTAGCTCTGTTAGTTTGTTATTGTTAGACTGTTGTGTTGTGTTATTGTTGACTTGTTGTTCTGTTAGCTCTGTTAGCACTGTTAGCACCGTTAGCTCTGTTAGCACTGTTAGCACTGTTAGCACTGTTAGCACTGTTAGCTCTGTTAGCTCTGTTAGCACTGTTAGTTCTGTTAGCACTGTTAGCTCTGTTAGCACTGTTATCTGTTAGCTCTGTTAGCACTGTTAGCTCTGTTAGCTCTGTTAGTTCTGTTAGCTCTGTTAGCTATGTTAGCTCTGTTATTTCTGTTAGCTCTGTTAGCTATGTTAGCACTGTTAGCACCGTTAGCACTGTTATCTGTTAGCACTGTTAGCTCTGTTAGCACTGTTATCTGTTAGCTCTGTTAGCACTGTTAGCTCTGTTAGCTCTGTTAGCACTGTTAGCACTGTTAGCTATGTTAGCTCTGTTATTTCTGTTAGCACTGTTAGCTATGTTAGCACTGTTAGCACCGTTAGCACTGTTATCTGTTAGCACTGTTATCTGTTAGCACTGTTATCTGTTAGCTCTGTTAGCTCTGTTAGCACTGAGGCCACGCCCCCTACAGTCACTGTTTGTATTAGTGGGAGGAGCTCTCAGAACTGATGGACACATTTTAAACTAAAGTTCAGTGTATTGATCTCTAATGTTTGTGAAATACTGATCAGTGTGATTGATTGTAATATCCTGTAGCTACTAATGAGCTCGACTGTTCAGTGTATTGATCTCTAATGTTTGTGAAATACTGATCAGTGTGATTGATTGTAATATCCTGTAGCTACTAATGAGCTCGACTGTTCAGTGTATTGATCTCTAATGTTTGTGAAATACTGATCAGTGTGATTGATTGTAATATCCTGTAGCTAATGAGCTCGACTGTTCAGTGTATTGATATTATAATGTAACTTGTCCTGTAAACAAACTCATAATGTCTGAAATGTGAAACTTTAAAGAAGAGTTTGAGGATAATGTTTATTCATCATCAGTTATTGATTCTATATTTCTCTCATTGAATGTAATAGACACATATACAGGTGCATCTCAATAAATTAGAATATAAGACAAAGATCGTTTCTTTCAGTAATTCACTTCAAAAAGGGAAATGTATATATTATATAGATTCATTACACACAGGGAAATATTTCAAGCCTTTATTTCTTTAATTTTGATGATTGTGGCTTACAGCTAACAAAACTCTAAATTCAGTCTCTCAGAAACTTATAATATTTCATAGGACCAATACATTTTAATACAGAAATGTCGGGGCTCCTTTTGCATGGATTACTGTGGCACTGCCCAGGTGTTATGGAAGTCCAGGTTGCTTTGATAGCGGCCTTCAGTTCGTCTGCATTGTTGGGTCTGGTGTCTCTCACCTTCCTCTTGACAATAGCCCATAGATGCTCTATGGGGTTCAGGTCAGGTGAGATTGCTGGCCAGTCAAGCACAGTAAAACCATAGTCATTAAACCAGGTATTGGTACCTTTGGCAGAGTGGGCAGGTGTCAAGTCCTGCTGGGAAATGAAATCAGCATCTCCATAAAGCCTGTCAGCAGAAGGAAGCATGAAGTGCTCCAAAATGTCCTGGTAGATGGCTGCGTTGACTTTGGACTTGATAAAACACAGGGGACCAACACCAGCAGATCCCCAAATCATCACTGACTGTGGAAACTTCACACTGGACTAAAAGCAACTTGGATTCTGTGCCTTTCCACTCTTCCTCCAGACTTTGGAGGAAGACCTCGATTCCCAAATGAAATGCAAAGTTCACTTTCATCTGAAAAGGGGACTTTGGACCACTGAGCAACAGTCCAGTCCTTTTTCTCCTTAGCCCAGGTAAGACGCTTCTGACAGTTGTAGCCCATGTCCTGGATACATCTGTGTGTGGTGGCTGTTGATGCACTGACTCAGCCTCAGTCTACTCCTTGTGAATCTCACACAAATTATTGAATGGTCGTTGCTTCACAATCCTCTCAAGGCTGCGGTTATTCCTGCTGCTTGTACACCTTTTTCTACCACACTTTTTCCTGCCACTCAACTTTCTATGAATATGCTTGGATACAGCACTCTGAACAGCAAGCTTCTTTAGCAATGACCTTCTGTGGCTTTCCCTCCTTGAGGGTGGCAATGACTGTCTTCTGGACAACCGTCAAGCCAGCAGTCTTCCCCATGATTGTGTAGCCTACTGAACCAGACCATTTAAAGACTCAGGAAACCTTTGCAGGTGATTAGAGTGTAACATTGTGAGTCTACAATATTGAACTAGTACTACGTGCTACGGTAAGCGTACTGACTCATTCCCGGTTCACTTCCTGCTCTGTGTACACTGTTTGGTGCTGTAGCTCTGTCAGTGAACGCTAAATATAAATTAGTTTTACTCGTTACAGCGGTTATTTACCCGCTTAACATTTAAACGTAGACTAGTTCTACTTAAACACTTGGAGTTTCTCCCTCTTTTAGGGACTTTTCACTACTTTCAAAGTTTTTCATACACTCTAGTTTCATTAGCATTAGCAGTTAGCTATGGCTTCTCCCTCTCCCTCTCCTCTGTCCTGCTCAGTGTGTCAGATGTTCAGTTATTCCTCTGCCTCCTTTAAAGATAATGGTACCTGTATTAAATGTAGTTTATTTACTGCGCTGGAGGCGAGGCTTAGTGAGTTAGAGGAACGGCACCGCACCACGGAGATATCTTTAGCCGCTATAGTTAGCCAGCCCCCAGTAGCCGGTGCGGTCCGACCGAAGGTAGCTTCTGTTAGCTCTGTAGTTCCCCCGGTAGTTCCTCCGGTAGTTCCCCCGGTAGTTCCCGAGCAGCCGGGAAGACAGGGAGGCTGGGTGACTGAGCGAAGGAAGACTAGAACGGCGAAGCCCACAGGTCACCACCAACCCATTCACGTTTCTAATACATTTTCCCCACTCAGCGATACACCCGCTGAGGAACCAACTCTGGTTATTGGCAGCTCCATAGTCAGAAACGTGAAGTTAGCGAAGCCAGCGGCCATAGTTAAATGTATCCCTGGGGCCAGAGCGGGCGACATTGAATCAAATTTAAAACTGCTGGCTAAAGATAAACGTAAATACAGTAAGATTGTTATCCACGTCGGCGGTAACGACACCCGTTTACGCCAATCGGAGGTCACTAACATTAATGTGGAGTCGGTGTGTAATTATGCTAAAACAGTGTCGGACACCGTAGTTTTCTCTGGACCCCTCCCCAATGTGACCAGTGATGACATGTATAGCCGCATGTCGTCATTCCACCGCTGGCTGTCGAGGTGGTGTCCAGCAAACGATGTGGGCTTCATTGATAACTGGAAGCCTTTTTGGGGAAAACCTGGTCTGATTAGGGAGAGACGGCATCCATTCCACTTTGGATGGAGCGGCTCTCTTATCTAGAAATATGGCGAAGTTTATCTCTAAAACCTGACAGTCCAGAGTTAGGACCAGGAAGCAGAGCTGCTGTCTTACACACTTCTCTGCTCTTTCTTTAGAACAGTCACCCACCCAAAACCCCATAGAGACTGTGTCTGTCCCCCGACCACCTAAACTATTTAAAGAAATAAAAACAAGAGGAGTTCAACATAAAAATCTAATAAAAATTAAAACCAACTCCTCAGTAGCACAAAATAAGAGAATGAAATGTGGGCTGTTAAATATCAGGTCTCTGTCCTCTAAAGCTGTTTTAGTGAATGAATTAATATCAGATTTTGATATTGATTTACTTTGTCTTACTGAGACCTGGTTGTCCCACGAGGAGTATGTTAGCCTAAATGAATCCACCCCCCCAGTCATATTAATACTCACATTCCTCGAGGCACAGGCCGAGGAGGTGGAGTAGCAGCTATATATGATTCGAGCGTTTTAATGGACCCTAAACCTAAACTAAATTATAATTCATTTGAAAGCCTTGTTCTTAGTCTTTCTCACCCAAACTGGAAAACATTGCAGCCAGTTCTATTTGTTATAGTGTACCGCGCTCCCGGACCATACTCTGATTTTATATCTGAATTCTCAGAGTTTCTATCAAGTTTAGTCCTTAAATCAGAAAGTATTTTGTAGGTGTTTTAATATTCATGTGGATGTTAACAATGACAGCCTTAGTAATGCATTTATATCATTAATAGACTCAATTGGCTTCTGTCAGAGTGTAAATAAACCAACTCATTGTTTTAATCACACTCTTGACCTTGTTTTATCATATGGCATTGATATTGAACATTTAATAGTCTTCCCACATAATCCTTTCCTATCTGACCATTATTTAATAACTTTTGAATTCATACTATTAGATTATAAGCCATTAGGCAAAACTTCCTACAGCAGATGTCTATCTGACAGTGCTGTAGCTAAATTTAAGGAGGAGATTCCTTCAGTGTTTAATTCAATGCCATGTCTGAATTTAACAGAGTCCTATAACAACTTTAGTCCCTCTGAAATTGATAATCTTGTCGATAGTGCTACAGGCTCACTACGATCAACATTAGACTCTATCGCTCCTATAAAAAGGAAATTATTAAAACATAGGAGACTAGCACCTTGGTATAACCACCAAACCCGCCAGTTAAAGCAAATAGCTAGGAAATCTGAAAGGAAATGGCGCTCTTCCAAATTATCAGAATATCGCTCAAATTGGCAAGATGATCTTAAGATTTATAGAAAGGCCCTCCGTAATGCCAGAGGAGCCTATTACTCAGCACTAATAGAAGAAAATAACAACAACCCTAGGTTCCTCTTCAGCACTGTAGCCAGGCTGACAGAGAGTCACAACTCTATTGAGCCACATATCCCCATAAACTTAAGTAGCAATGACTTCATGAGCTTCTTCTATAATAAAATTATTACTATTAGAGAAAAAATTAATCACCAACTGCCATCAACGGTTATCAGTGGCTCTCCAAGTTCAGGGACTTCTGTCAATGTAAACTTAGATGTATATTTAGACTGTTTTTCTGCTATCGATCTTCATCAGTTAACTTCAATCATTTCTTCATCGAAGCCATCAACCTGTCTGTTAGACCCGATCCCAACTAGGCTGCTTAAAGAAGTTGTTCCCTTAATTGGCACTTCTTTACTGGATATGATTAATCTTTCTTTATTATCAGGATATGTACCACAGTCCTTTAAAGTAGCTGTAATTAAACCCCTTCTTAAAAAGTCCACTCTTGACCCAGGGGTTTTAGCCAACTATAGACTGATTTCTAACCTCCCCTTCCTCTCTAAGATTCTGGAGAAAGTAGTCGCCAAAGAGTTGTGTGACTTTCTACATAACAATAGTTTATTTGAGGATTTTCAGTCAGGATTTAGAGTTCATCATAGCACAGAGACAGCTCTGGTTAAAGTTAATAATGACCTTCTGACTGCTTCTGACAATGGACTTGTCTCTGTACTTGTATTATTAGATCTTAGTGCTGCATTTGACACCATTGACCATGATATTCTTTTACAGAGACTTGAGCATCAAATTGGCATTAAAGGAACTGCCCTAACCTGGTTTAAGTCATACTTATCAGATCGTTTTCAGTTTGTACATGTTAACGATGAATCCTCCATAAATACTAAAGTTAGTCATGGAGTTCCACAAGGTTCTGTACTTGGACCAATACTATTTACTTTATATATGCTCCCTTTAGGCAACATTATTAGGAATCACTCCATTAACTTTCACTGTTATGCAGATGATACGCAGTTATATCTATCAATCAAACCCAATGAAATTAATCAATTATCTAAATTACAAACATGTCTTAAGGACATAAAATCCTGGATGACCTGCAATTTTCTGATGTTAAACTCAGAAAAAACCGAAATTCTTGTTCTTGGCCCCAAAAACCTTAGAGACTCATTGTCTAAAGATATAGTCACTCTAGATGGCATTAACTTGGCCTCTAGCACCACTGTCAGGAATCTTGGAGTTATCTTTGATCAGGATTTGTCATTTAACTCCCACATAAAGCAGACCTCTAGGACTGCCTTCTTTCATTTACGTAATATTAGAAAAATTAGACACATCCTATCACAGACAGATGCAGAAAAACTAATCCATGCATTTGTTACTTCAAGGCTGGATTACTGCAACTCTTTATTATCAGGTTGCCCCAATAAGTCCATTAAAACGCTCCAATTAATTCAGAACGCTGCAGCACGAGTACTGACAGGAACTAGAAAAAGAGATCACATCTCTCCTGTACTAGCTACTCTGCATTGGCTCCCTATAAAATGTAGAATTGAATTTAAAATACTCCTCCTCACCTATAAAGCTCTTCATGGTCAGGCCCCTTCATATCTTAAAGAGCTCATAGTACCCTATTACCCCTCTAGAACACTACGTTCTCTGAATGCTGGGCTACTTGTGGTTCCTATAGTCTCTAAAAGTAGAACAGGAGCCAGAGCCTTCAGTTACCAAGCTCCTCTCCTGTGGAACCAGCTTCCAGTTGTGGTTCGGGAGGCAGACACCCTCTCCACATTCAAGAGTAGGCTTAAGACATTCCTCTTTGATAAAGCTTATAGTTAGGGCTGGATCAGGTGAGTCCTGAACCATCCCTTAGTTATGCTGCTATAGGCCTAGACTATCGGGGGATTTCCCATGGTGCACTGAGCTCCTCTCTTCCTCTCTCTTTCTGCACTCATTCATGTCCCATTAATGCATGTTACTAACTTCACTTCTTCCCCCGGAGTTCTTGTGCTTTCTCGTCTCGCAGGTTCTCATGGATCCTGGTGGAGCCTCCTGCCATGGTCCTGCTTGACTGCCATTGCCAATACTGTTGTTGCTGTGCACCTGTCTGTCTGTCTGTCGCTCTCTCTCTCTCTCTCTCTCTCTCTCTCTCTCTCACCCCAACTGGTCGAGACAGACGACCACCCACCTAGAGCCGAAGGATCTGTCCTAGGTTTCTGCCTTTTAACAGGCAGTTTTTCCTTGCCCTTGTCGCCAAGTGCTTGCTCATGGTGGTACTGTTGGGTCTCTGTAATTAATGTTAAAGAGTTCGGTCTAGACCTGCTCTATTTGAAAAGTGTCCTGAGATAACTTCTGTTATGAATTGGCGCTATACAAATAAAATTGAATTGAATTGAATTGAATTACTAATATTCAAATTTTCTGAGATACTGAATTTTGGGTTTGTTAGCTGTAAGCCATAGTCATCAAAATTAAAAGAAATAAAGGCCTGAAATGTTTCACTGTGTGTAATGAATCTATATATGAATTTCACTTTTTGAATTGAATTACTGAAATAAGTTTACTTTACCATGTATTTTAGTATTTTGTATTTTATGAATAAAACATAAGTCCAGATAACAGATCGGACATCATTTTCAAAATAAGTGATCAGTTAAAGTTTTGTTAATATTTATAAGAAATGTATAATTATATCTTAGAATAAAGTTTAGATATTATAGATCCCTTTATGCTACCTTCACAAACAAAATGAAAATTAAGATAATATAGACTTTATTGATCCCACACAAGGGAAATTCACTAACGTTATAACAAAATAAATAAGATATAATAGTAACAGAAAGAGTAGAGTAAGAGTTTAATGTACTGCTTTTAAATACAGATGTGACAGATATGGATCACTGAGTCATTAAAATAGAAATAAATTACAGTACTATTGGAAATAAATTTACTTTTGATAAAATATGTAACTTTTCATCCTGTTGACCTGCTCAACATGGCGGCCAGTACAGGACATCTCGGAACAGGAAGAAGGGCAACAGCTACGCCTGCGCAGTGACTCATCCCGGGTCCCTGTAAAGATGTCTGAGCAGGCGGGGAGGGAGCGGAGCGGAGGACCCGAAACAAACGGACAGAAACCGTGACTCTCCGCAACTTAACCGGTCAAGGTAAGGGCAAGCGGCCCCGCAGAGCCGCACCGACGGCACCGACACGCGGCGGAAGGTTTCGGCCGTCAGTTGAACCGGATTAATGGCGCACAGAACGGCTGAACTCGTTGTAAAGAAGAGAAAGTGTGTGCGGGACTCGCAGCACTGTGGCAGGGGCGTGTCCGCCATCTTGTCTGAGAAGTGGCGCCTAAACAGCAGCTGTCGCTCCGAGCGGAGACAGAGCGGGCCGCGCAAAATGGCCGTTAACGGCGGCGGCGGGCTCCGGTCTGTGGGCTTAACTGAGTCTGGCCCGGTTTGACCCGCTGTGGTCCGGTACTGACAGCCGCTGGGTCCAAGTGTTCAGCCCGGGCTCCGGAGGAGCAGCCGCAGCTTTTTGTTGTCCTCCCCCTCCTCCCTCTCCTCCTCCCCCCTCCTCCCTCTCCTCCCCCCCCCTCCTCCGTGTTTGTTTGGAAAGCCTGTAGTGCGCATGCGTGTAACCATAGCGCTCGTTTCTGCGTAAGAGACAGAAAACATGAAAATTAATGAAATGTTTTCACTCACAGCTGTAATTAATACACACACACACACTCGCTCTGTTATCGGCTGCTCATCGATTACATTGATCAGATTGAAACTGATATCGTTCCGTTTGCCGCCACATTCAGTCGCTCCGTGATAAACAGCTCGGTTTGTTTGTTATTACAGCAGCCATTAAACACTCACTGCAACCAGCATCGATTATTATCCATATTCCCTTATTGATCTGTAAAACACACTGACGTACTGTGATCATCAGTGATCAATATGTGTTGATCAGACCATCATGGTCACTTTATACTACAACTGAGCATCGTTTCAGTTCATCTAAGACTTAATAATATAAATAATAATATATCAGTTTATTAGTTAATAACATACTTTATCGACTTTAAGCCGCATACTGTCATTTTACAGATAAAGTATCTATCAATCAATCTCATAAGTGATCAGCAGATATACATATATATACATATATATACTGTTTATAATATTATATATTATGTGTTATTCACAGGAAGAATATACAATGACTACAGTGACCTCTGATAGCCAATATATTGATCCAGGGTGCATTGATTATATATAATGTGATCAGGGAGCTCCACAGTGGAGAGGATGAGGCTGTTCCTCCGTCTGATGGACAAACACACTAATAAATTAATACATTAATAAATTCAACGTTTGACGAATTTACAAGAAGCCCCAAATATTCTTATTTAAATCTTTAAATCGTAAATGAAGGTAGTTTAAATTGATATGTAACAACTAGAAGAAGAAAATAATGATAATAAGAATAATAATGATAATAATGATAATGAGTGAACTAGCTTCTAGCTGCTTTGAAGCAGAGCAGTTACAATGGTCCATCTTCATCATCAGTGAGCGTCCATCTTCATCATCAGTGAGCGTCCACGCCGGCTGCCGCCAAATTATAGGGAGAAGAAAGAAAAGTGGTCTAAAATGATTCAGGGCTCCAGACTAACTCTTTGCATTGGTTGCACTGGTGCATCTAACTTTTTTTAGGTGCACCCAAATTTTTCATTGCGCTGCCTTTAACGCCGTAAGGTCACCTATTTACTGCTCTCCATAACTTTCATATAATGTGAATGATTTTTAAAGAAGAATAAGGTGTAGAGAAATGCTTGTCTTTATTTGAAGCACAATTATATATAAAAAGAAAAATAAAGTGTTTAAAGTGCTTCACTGAGCTGAAATTGAACATTTCAAATTAAAACACTAAGCAAAATAAAACATTTCCAAATAAAAGAGGACCTGATTACTACTACCTGTCGCTGAAATGCAGCTGGGAGAGGGGCCACTTTCTCTACACACTCGTCACGGCATATCGTGTGTCGATACGAAACGTTGTTGACCCACTCACGAATATTCTGACCGCACTCCTGACAGTACACGCAGTGCGTTGCGTTACGTCCTTTGTTGAACCTCAGCCAGGGAACTTGTTTCAGCCAGTCCTGTCTGAAGGAATATATTTTGGCCTTTTTAATTTGGGTCTCGGAGCCGGGCTCTATCCCAGACTCGGTTGTCTCCTCCTCTGGTTCCGAGTCTGATGCTGTCGCAGAAGGACCGGGGCTCGGCAATTTTTAAACACACGCAATTTAGCGCGGTGAACAGGACCACAGCCAATCAGAGGCAAAGACCCGCCCGAGCTCTGTCTCTTATTGGTTTAGAACCCGATATGATCCTACCATGAGTGTGTGAGTTCGGTCACAGGAGAACACAGAGAGATGATGCGCTTGCAAAATAAATTTATGTTTTCACCCGGGCAGCGTCAGGTGCACCTAGAAGAATTATTAGTCGCACTCTTAAAAATTTTGGTCGCACTCTGGAGCCCTGTGATTAGTTAAGAGTGAGAACCGTGTTCAACAATCAGTTCCTGCGTTGGTACAGGACGTCAGTGAGGAGGCGGTCCTTCAGTGTGGACCAGCACTGATTAGAGTTTATACATGGACCACATCAGGAAGTGGTCTGAGTGATCTGATCACCGTGAGTCTGTATTTGGAGACTTGTTAATACACCAATCATCCGCTGATTGATCCACAGAACATTAGTCGTTTATCATTTAATAGTCAAAATATTACTTTAATTATTTCTATGCTTAAATAATCTCTCGCAGGTCGATGTCATTCTGACGAGCAGCTGAGATGTCCAATGACAGTCAGGGATCGGTCAAGGGGGAGGCGGCCATGATGCCATCTCCCTCTGTCCCCGCCTCCTCTCAGGGACCGCCCCTTTCTCCGTCCACCACCTCCAAACCACCTGAGCTCCCAGGTACTGTCTCTCTGTCTCTGACCTGTCTGTCTCTGACCTGTCTGTCCCTGGCCTGTCTGTCTCTAAACTTGTCTGTGTGACAGATGAGCTGGTCCAGGCTGGATGGTCTAAGTGCTGGTCTCGGAGGGAGAACCGGCCGTACTATTTCAACAGATTCACCAATCAGAGCCTGTGGGAGGTTCCAGTCCTGGGTCAGCATGATGTCATTGTGAGTTCTGTTTATTATGACGGTACTGTGATCAATGCTGCTCTTAATATTCACATTATTAGTTATGTTATGAGTTTGTTGGTTGTTTCGGACGACTGTACATCAGACATTTCTATAAAAACAGAGTTAACTTCCTATAATCAGAGGAGGGCGGCCACCTCCCCCACCTTAGCTACAACACAAGTTACACTGCTGCGGTCAGTCTGTCAATCACTGCGGTCACTGTCGAGGCCACGCCTCCTACAGTCACTGTCCATTGTACAGGGACGGGGGGCCACATTAACCAGTTCATTAATAGCTCACACTGGTGCCCACTAGTAAGATTAACAACATTTAACAACTGTTCACACACACTTTTTAAAAAAAAAAAAAAAACTGTTATATATATATATATATATATATATATTTATTTTATCATACATTATATATATATATATATATATATATATATATATATATATATATATATATATATATATATGTGTGTGTGTGTGTGTGTATATATATATATATATATATATATATATATATATATATATATATATATATATATATATATATATATATATATATATACACACACACACACACACACATATATATATATATATATATATATATATATATATATATATATATATATGTGTGTGTGTGTGTGTATATATATATAGAGGCAGGGCACATGTGTTAACCTGTCTGTCTGTAGTCTGATCCTTTAGGTCTGAACGCGGCTCCAGCAGAGGGCGGAGACAGTAACCTTGGTAACGGTCAGAGGAAGAGGAGGGGCTCTGAGGAGCAAGGGGCGGGGCCTAACAGTTTCAAGCGAGCCAAGGTAACCCCACAGGTCATGTGATCATTTCTACAGCTGACAGTGAAACTAGTGAGTGGTGTGTAGGGGATTGTGGGAAACGGAGTCCTGTCTGTGTTGTTTTCAGGTGGAACCCACCACGCCCATCTCTCCCAGCACTCCTGGGGTCAAACCCTGGAGCTCCGCCCCTGAGGACAAGCAGGCCCAGACGACCACACCTACCACCCCAAGCCCCGCCCCCGCCCCATACAGGCCAGCTGTGTGAGTACTGAGGCCACGCCCGTCCTGGCTGGGCAGCCATATTGTTTGTTGTTGTATTCGTCTGCCCTGTTGGTGAAACTGGTCGAATAAACTGGTTTTCAGGATCTACTGGGACCTAGACATCCAGACCAACGCTGTGATCAGAGAGCGCCCCCCCGCCAATCACCTGCCCCCCCCACCCTGAGATAGAGCTGCAGAGAGCTCAGCTGGTCACCAAACTGAGGCAACACTACCACGAGCTGTGCCACCAGAGAGAAGGTACCAGTGCTTCAGTCTGTGCTTCAGTCTGTGCTTCAGTCTGTGCTTCAGTCTGTGCTTCAGTCTGTGTATTCTGATCAATATAATCCATAAAGATACAGTGTATACTGATCAATATCATCCATAAAGATACAGTGTATCCTGATCAATATCATCCATAAAGATACAGTGTATCCTGATCAATAATCAATAGAAACAGTGTATTCTGATCAATAATTTTTCAATTCAATTCAATTTTATTTGTATAGCGCCAATTCATAACAGAAGTTATCTCAGGACACTTTTCAAATAGAGCAGGTCTAGACCGAACTCTTTAACATTAATTACAGAGACCCAACAGTACCACCATGAGCAAGCACCTTGGCGACAAGGGCAAGGGAAACACTGCCTGTTAAAAGGCAGAAACCTAGGACAGATCCTCCGGCTCTAGGTGGGTGGTCGTCTGTCTCGACCAGTTGGGGTAGAGAGAGAGAGAGAGAGAGACGAGAGAGAGAGAGAGGGAGGTGCACAGCAACAACAGTTTTGGCAATGGCAATCTAGCAGGACCATGGCAGGAGGCTCCACCAGGATCGATAAGAACCTGCGAGACGAGAAAGCACAAGAACTCCGAGGAAGAAGTGGAGTTAGTAACATGCATTAATGGAACATGAATGAGTGCAGAAAGAGAGAGGAAGAGAGGAGCTCAGTGCACCATGGGAAATCCCCCGATAGTCTAGGCCTATAGCAGCATAACTAAGGGATGGTTCAGGACTCACCTGATCCAGCCCTAACTATAAGCTTTATCAAAGAGGAATGTCTTAAGCCTACTCTTGAATGTGGTGAGGGTGTCTGCCTCCAGAACCACAACTGGAAGCTGGTTCCACAGGAGAGGAGCTTGGTAACTGAAGGCTCTGGCTCCTGTTCTACTTTTAGAGACTATAGGAACCACAAGTAGCCCAGCATTCAGAGAACGTAGTGTTCTAGTGGGGTAATAGGGTACTATGAGCTCTTTAAGATATGAAGGGGCCTGACCATGAAGAGCTTTATAGGTGAGGAGGAGGATTTTAAATTCTATTCTACATTTTATAGGGAGCCAATGCAGAGAAGCTAGTACAGGAGAGATGTGATCTCTTTTTCTAGTTCCTGTCAGTACTCGTGCTGCAGCGTTCTGAATTAATTGGAGCGTTTTAATGGACTTATTGGGACAACCTGATAATAAAGATCAATAATCAATAATCAATAGAAACAGTGTATACTGATCAATAATCAATAGATAGTGTATTCTGATCAATATCATCCATAAAGTCAATATCATCCATAAAGATACAGTGTATCCTGATCAATAATCAATAGAAACAGTGTATTCTGATCAATAATCAATAGTGTATCCTGATCAATATCATCCATAAAGATTCAGTGTATCCTGATCAATATCATCCATAAAGATTCAGTGTATCCTGATCAATAATCAATAAAGATACAGTGTGTTCTGATCAATATCATCCATTAAGATTCAGTGTATCCTGATCAATAATCAATAAAGATACAGTGTGTTCTGATCAATATCATCCATAAAGATACAGTGTATTCTGATCAATAATCAATAAAGATACAGTGTATATTGCTGGTTGGTGGATACACACCCTGTCTGTCTGTCTCACTGTCTGTCTGTGGTTCAGGTATTGATCCGCCCCGGGAGTCGTTCAATCGTTGGCTGCTGGAGAGGAAAGTGATTGATAAAGGTCATGACCCCTTACTGCCCAGTGACTGTGACCCCGTCATCTCCCCGTCCATGTTCAGAGAGGTCATGAACGATATTCCCATCAGGTACCTGATTATTGATAACGTATCGGTGTCTGATCATTGATAACGTATCGCTCTCTGTCAGGTAGATTATTGATAACGTATCGGTGTCTGATCATTGATAACGCATCGCTCTCTGTCAGGTAGATTATTAATAACGTATCGCTCTCTGTCAGGTAGATTATTGATAACGTAACGCTCTCTGTCAGGTAGATTATTGATAACGTATCGGTGTCTGATCATTGATAACGTATCGCTCTCTGTCAGGTAGATTATTGATAACGTATCGCTCTCTGTCAGGTAGATTATTGATAACGTATCGGTGTCTGATCATTGATAACGTATCGCTCTCTGTCAGGTAGATTATTGATAACGTATCGTGTCTGATCATTTACTCTTCTATTTTGATAACGTATTGGTGTCTGATCATTGATAACGTATCGCTCTCTGTCAGGTAGATTATTGATAACGTATCGGTGTCTGATCATTGATAACGCATCGCTCTCTGTCAGGTTGATTATTGATAACGTATCGATGTTGGGGTGATTATTGATAAGGTATCGATGTTGGGCTGATTATTGATAACGTATCGTTCTCTCTGTCAGGTTGATTATTGATAACGTATCGCTCTCAGTCAGGTTGATTATTGATAACGTATCGTTCTCTCTGTCAGGTTGATTATTGATAACGTATCGCTCTCAGTCAGGTTGATTATTGATAACGTATCGTTCTCTCTGTCAGGTTGATTATTGATAACTTATCGCTCTCAGTCAGGTTGATTATTGATAACGTATCGATGTTGGGGTGATTATTGATAACGTATCGCTCTCTGTCAGGTTAATTATTGATAACGTATCGATGTTGGGGTGATTATTGATAACGTATCGATGTTGGGGTGATTATGGATAACGTATCGCTCTCTGTCAGGTTGATTATTGATCGTTGATTTGGTGATTATTGATAACGTATCGATGTTGGGGTGATTATGGATAACGTCGATGTTGGGGTGATTACTGATAAGGTATCGATGTTGGGGTGATTATGGATAACGTATCGATGTTGGGGTGATTATGGATAACGTATCGCTCTCTGTCAGGTTGATTATTGATAACGTATCGATGTTGGGGTGATTATGGATAACGTATGGCTCTCTGTCAGGTTGATTATTGTGAACGTATGATCGGGTGATTATCGATAACGTTGTCTCGTCAGGTTGATTATTGATAACGTATCGATGTTGGGGTGATTATTGATAACGTATCGATGTTGGGGTGATTATTGATAACGTATCGATGTCTGTCAGGTTGATTATTGATAACGTATCGATGTTGGGGTGATTATGGATAACGTATGGCTCTCTGTCAGGTTGATTATTGTGAACGTATCGATGTCGGGGTGATTATGGATAACGTATCGCTCTCTGTCAGGTTGATTATTGATAACGTATCGATGTTGGGGTGATTATGGATAACGTATCGCTCTCTGTCAGGTTGATTATTGATAACGTATCGATGTTGGGGTGATTATGGATAACGTATCGCTCTCTGTCAGGTTGGCTCGTATTAAGTACAAAGAGGAGGCCAGGAAGCTGCTGTTTAAATATGCTGAAGCTGCCAAGAAGATGATTGACTCCAGGTAGGTCTCAATAGTCCAATCAGTGTAATCCTGCTGAGGTCATAAGCCAATGGGTGGCTTTAACCTTTGACCTCTGACCTGTGCAGGAATGCCAGTCCAGAGAGCAGGAAGGTGGTGAAGTGGAACGCTGAAGACACCATGAGCTGGCTGCGCCGAGATCACTCCGCCAGCAAAGAGGACTACATGGTAACGTCTGACCTTTGACCTTTTAGTTTGTCACTGTGAAGAGTCTGGACAACCTTATGTAGTCCGTCAGGACCTGAACCGTGTGTGTTGGAATGTGTGTAGGACCGTCTGGAGCACCTGAGACAGCAGTGTGGTCCTCACGTCACTGCCGTCGCCAAAGACTCTGTGGAGGGAATCTGCTCCAAGATCTACCAGCTGTCTGCAGAGTACAGCCGCCGCCTGAGACAGACACACCTGAATCTGCTGCAGGACCCCCCCACAGGTACACACACACACCCCTGAGTCTGCTGCACACAGAGACCTTCAGAAAGCTAATCTTTATGTTAAGCAGAAGGGCAAAAAAAAACCTCACAAGAGAAAACATAATGACTGCTAGCAGCTAACTAGCTAACAGATCACACACTCAGTTACCCACAATCCACCTTTGTTAAAGGGGAAGGATGCAGTGAGTGTGTGGGTGGAGGAAGTATTGAGGTCCATTCAGTACAAGTTCCAGTACCAGCCCCACTGCATTATAAAGAACAGTGTTTAATATTAATGCTGAGGTCATTGTTTATATTCTGTGAACACTGTTGGTACTGTTATGTTCCCATTAATGTATATTTATCAAAGACCACAGTGGCTGCAGGACCCTCAGGTACACACACCTGTTGATGTGTGTCTTGTTGATGTGTGTCCAGAGGCGTGTGCGTCCCCCCAGCAGTCCCGGTTGGTCTACTGTTACCCGGTGCGTCTGGCCATCCCCTCGCCGCCCCTCCCTCGAGTGGAGCTGCACTTTGAGAACGACGTCGCCTGTCTGCGCTTCAGAGGGGAGATGGTCAAAGTCAACAGAGGACACTTCAGCAAACTGGTCAGTACTGAGTCATGTGATACACAGAGTCACATGATGACTGTCTGTGAGCTGGAAAGGTCCTGGAAAGGTCCTGGAAAGGTCCTGGAAAATGATTGCACCCACGTTCTTCTGCACAGCTTTCTCTTTCTCTTCTTATCTTTATCTATTCTATTTATCTATTGATTTGAATAATTGTATATTTGTATATGTGTATATTTTATGCTGCACCAGGTCACATTCCTCGTAGGTGTAAAAACCTACTTGGCAATAAACAAAATTCTGATTAAGTAAAGAGAGGGACCCTGTTAACTGTCTGTCTCTCTGAGTAACTGTCTCACTGTCTCTCTGACTGTCGCTCTGTCTGTCTCACTGACTCACTTACTGACTCACTGTCTCACTGACTGACTGTCTGTCTCACTGTCTCTCTGACTGTCTCACTCTGTCTGTCTCACTGACTGCCTGTCTCTCTGTCTGTCTCTCTGTCTCACTGTCTGTCTCACTGACTCACTGTCTCACTGACTGACTGTCTGTCTCACTGTCTCTCTGACTGACTGTCTGTCTGTCTCACTGTCTCTCTGACTGACTGTCTGTCTGTCTCACTGTCTTACTGACTGTCTCACTCTGTCTGTCTCACTGACTGCCTGTCTCACTGACTGTCTCTGTCTGTCTCACTGACTGCCTGTCTCTCTGTCTGTCTCTCTGTCTCACTGACTGACTCTCTGTCCCACTATCTTTCTGTCTGTCTCACTGACTATCTCACTCTCTGTCTCACTGTCTGTCTGACTGTCTGTCTCACTGACCCACTCACTGACTGTCTCACTGACTGACTCTCTGTCTCACTGACTGACTCTCTGTCTCACTGACTGTCTCTCTGTCTGTCTCACTGTCTCTGACTGACTGTCTTACTGACTGTCTCATTGTCTGTCTGTCTCACTGACTGTCTCCCTGTCTGTCTCACTGTCTGACTGTCTGTCTCTCTGTATGTCTGCAGGAGTTGTTGTACAGATACAGCTGTATAGACGATCCACGCTTTGAGAAGTTCCTGTCCAGAGTCTGGTGCCTCCTCAAGAGATACCAGGTCAGCTGACTTTCTGTTAACCAATCAGGGTGTTGACTCAGTTGATTGGTAAGTTAACGAGTGTGTGTGTGTGTGTGTGTGTGTGTGTGTGTGTCCAGGTGATGTTTGGCAGCGGGGCTAACGAGGGGACGGGTCTGCAGGGGGCACTGCCGGTGGCGGTGTTCGAGGCATTGAACCGGCAGTTTGGAGTTTCCTTTGAATGTTTCGCTTCGCCGCTCAACTGCTACTTCAAACAGTTCAGCTCCGCCTTCCCCGACATCGACGGCTTCTTCGGATCCCGAGGGTGAGACAGGTGTCTGTCTGTCTGTTACAGCTGGATAATGATAGTGTGTGACTGTGGCGCCCCCAGTGGCTGCAGCACAACACTACAAACCATAATCACACAAGTACACAGATTATTAACTGTGTCTGTGTCTATGTGTCTGTCTGTCTGTCTGTCTGTCTGTCTGTCTGTCTCTGTCTGTCTGTCTCTGTGTGTCTGTGTGTCTGTGTTCAGGCCGTTCCTGTCATTCTGTCCAGTCAGTGGCTCGTTTGAAGCTAACCCTCCATTCTGTGAAGAACTGATGGACGCCATGGTGACGCACTTTGAGGTTAGTCCTATATGAGTCTGTCAGAGCATCTTCTGTCTGTCTCTGTCTGTCTGTCTGTCTGTATTTCTCTCTGTAGAGGTCTGTAGTGGGGCTGTAGAGGTCTGTAGTGAGGCTGTAGAGGTCTGTAGTGGGGCTATAGAGGTCTGTAGAGGTCTGCAGTGGGGCTATAGAGGGGCTGTAGAGGTCTGTAGTGAGGCTGTAGAGGTCTGTAGTGAGGCTGTAGAGGTCTGTAGTGAGGCTGTAGAGGTCTGCAGTGGGGCTATAGAGGGGCTGTAGAGGTCTGCAGTGGGGCTGTAGAGGTCTGTAGTGGGGCTGTAGAGGTCTGTAGTGTGGGGCTGTAGAGGTCTGTAGTGGGGCTATAGTTAGTGAGGCTGTAGAGGTCTGTAGTGGGGTGGGGCTGTAGAGGTCTGTAGTGGGGCTATAGAGGGGCTGTAGAGGTCTGTAGTGGGGCTGTAGAGGTCTGTAGTGGGGCTGTAGAGGTCTGTAGTGGGGCTGTAGAGGTCTGTAGAGGTCTGTAGTGGGGCTGTAGAGGTCTGTAGTGGGGCTGTAGAGGTCTGTAGTGGGGCTGTAGAGGTCTGTAGTGGGGCTGTAGAGGTCTGTAGTGGGGCTATAGAGGTCTGTGGGGCTGTAGAGGTCTGTAGTGGGGGGTCTGTAGAGGTCTGCAGTAGAGGGGCTGTAGAGGTCTGTAGTGGGGCTGTAGAGGTCTGTAGTGGGGCTGTAGAGGTCTGTAGTGGGGCTGTAGAGGTCTGAGTGGTAAAGTTAGTGGGAAGGGTAGGGCTGTAGGGGTCTATAGTGGGGCTGTAGAGGTCTGTAGTGGGGCTGTAGAGGTCTGTAGTGGGGCTATAGGGGCTGTAGAGGTTGTGGGGCTGTAGGGTCTGTGGTGGGGCTATAGAGGGGCTGTAGAGGTCTGTAGTGGGTCTGTAGTGGGGCTATAGAGGGGCTGTAGAGGTCTGTAGTGGGGCTGTAGAGGGGGTCTGTATGTAGTGGGCTGTAGAGGTCTGTAGTGGGGCTGTAGAGGTCTGTAGTGGGGCTATAGGGCTGTAGAGGTTGGTGGGGCTGTAGGGGTCTGTAGTGGGGCTGTAGAGGTCTGTAGTGGGGCTGTAGAGGTCTGTAGTGGGGCTATAGAGGGGTGGGGGCTGTAGAGGTCTGTAGTGGGGCTGTAGAGGTCTGTAGTGGGTCTGTAGTGGGGCTGTAGAGGGCTGTAGAGGTCTGTAGTGGGGCTGTAGAGGTCTGTAGTGGGGCTGTAGAGGTCTGTAGTGGGGCTGTAGAGGTCTGCAGTGGGGCTGTAGAGAGGCTGTAGTGGGGCTATAGAGAGGCTGTAGAGGTCTGTAGTGGGGCTGTAGAGGTCTGTAGTGGGGCTATAGAGGGGCTGTAGAGGTCTGTAGTGGGGCTGTAGAGGTCTGCAGTGGGGCTGTAGAGGTCTGTAGTGGGGCTGTAGAGGTCTGTAGTGGGTCTGTAGTGGGGCTGTAGAGGTCTGTAGTGGGGCTGTAGAGGTCTGTAGTGGGGCTGTAGAGGTCTGTAGTGGGCTGTTGGGGCTATAGAGAGGCTGTAGTGGGGCTATAGAGAGGTCTGTAGTGGGGCTATAGAGGGGCTGTAGTGGGGCTGTAGAGGTCTGTAGTGGGGCTATAGAGAGGCTGCAGTGGGGCTATAGAGGGGCTTTAGAGGTCTGTAGTGGGGCTATAGAGAGGCTGTAGTGGGGCTATAGAGAGGCTGCAGTGGGGCTATAGAGGGGCTTTAGAGGTCTGTAGTGGGGCTATAGAGAGGCTGTAGTGGGGCTATAGAGAGGCTGTAGAGGTCTGCAGTGGGGCTATAGAGAGGCTGCAGTGGGGCTGTAGAGGTCTGCAGTGGGGCTATAGAGATAGAGGCTGCAGTGGGGCTGTAGAGGTCTGCAGTGGGGCTGTAGAGAGGCTGCAGTGGGGCTGTAGAGGTCTGCAGTGGGGCTATAGAGGGGCTGTAGTGAGGCTGCAGAGGGGCTGTAGAGAGTCTGCAGTTTAGAGGGGCTGTAGAGAGGCTGCAGTGGGGCTATAGAGAGGCTGCAGTGGGGCTATAGAGAGGCTGCAGTGGGGCTATAGAGAGGCTATAGAGGGGCTGTAGAGGTCTGCAGTGGGGCTGTAGAGGTCTGCAGTGGGGCTGTAGAGGTCTGTAGTATATCTGTCTCACTGACTGTCTCACTGACTGTCTCACTGACTGTTGCTCTGTGTGTGTCAGGGGCTGCTGGATCAGTCCTCAGAGCCTCTGTCCTTCATCGTCTTCGTCCCTGAGTGGCGTGACCCCGTGACCCCGGCTCTCACCCGTATGGAAGGAAGTAGATTTCTCCGCCACCAGCTGAATGTCCCGGCCTACGAACACGAGTACCGGTCCGGGAGTCAGCACATCTGCAAGAGGTACCAATACTACACTGGTACTGCACCAATACTGTACTGGTACTGGTACTGCACCGGTACTGGTACTGGTACTGCACTGGTACTGTACTGGTGCTGTACTGTATTGCACTGGTACTGTACTGGTCCTGGTATTGGTGCTGTACTGGTATTGGTGCTGTACTGGTACTGTACTGCACTGGTACTGGTATTGGTGCTGCACTGGTACTGGTACTGTACTGGTCCTGGTATTGGTGCTGTACTGGTACTGTACTGCACTGGTACTGGTATTGGTGCTGTACTGGTATTGGTGCTGTATTGGTGCTGTACTGGTATTGGTGCTGTACTGGTATTGGTGCTGTACTGGTGCTGTACTGGTATTGGTGGTATTGGTGCTGTACTGGTGCTGTACTGGTACTGTACTGGTGCTGTACTGGTATTGGTGCTGTACTGGTGCTGTACTGGTACTGGTGCTGTACTGGTGCTGTACTGGTATTGGTGCTGTACTGGTGCTGTACTGGTGCTGTATTGGTGCTGTACTGGTATTGGTGCTGTACTGGTACTGTACTGGTGCTGTACTGGTATTGGTGCTGCACTGGTACTGGTATTGGTGCTGTGCTGGTATTGGTGCTGTACTGGTACTGTACTGGTATTGGTGCTGTACTGGTGCTGTACTGGTACTGGTGCTGTACTGGTATTGGTGCTGTACTGGTACTGTACTGCACTGGTACTGGTATTGGTGCTGCACTGGTACTGGTATTGGTGCTGTGCTGGTATTGGTGCTGTACTGGTACTGTACTGGTATTGGTGCTGTACTGGTATTGGTGCTGTACTGGTACTGGTGCTGTACTGGTATTGGTGCTGCACTGGTACTGGTATTGGTGCTGTACTGGTACTGGTACTGCACTGGTACTGGTATTGGTGCTGTACTGGTACTGTACTGCACTGGTACTGGTATTGGTGCTGTACTGGTATTGGTGCTGTATTGGTGCTGTACTGGTATTGGTGCTGTACTGGTATTGGTGCTGTACTGGTGCTGTACTGGTATTGGTGCGGTATTGGTGCTGTACTGGTGCTGTACTGGTACTGTACTGGTGCTGTACTGGTATTGGTGCTGTACTGGTGCTGTACTGGTACTGGTGCTGTACTGGTGCTGTACTGGTATTGGTGCTGTACTGGTGCTGTACTGGTGCTGTATTGGTGCTGTACTGGTATTGGTGCTGTACTGGTACTGTACTGGTGCTGTACTGGTATTGGTGCTGCACTGGTACTGGTATTGGTGCTGTGCTGGTATTGGTGCTGTACTGGTACTGTACTGGTATTGGTGCTGTACTGGTGCTGTACTGGTACTGGTGCTGTACTGGTATTGGTGCTGTACTGATACTGTACTGGTGCTGTACTGGTATTGGTGCTGCACTGGTACTGGTATTGGTGCTGTGCTGGTATTGGTGCTGTACTGGTACTGTACTGGTATTGGTGCTGTACTGGTATTGGTGCTGTACTGGTACTGGTGCTGTACTGGTATTGGTGCTGCACTGGTACTGGTATTGGTGCTGTACTGGTATTGGTGCTGTACTGGTGCTGTACTGGTATTGGTGCTGTACTGGTACTGTACTGGTGCTGTACTGGTACTGGTGCTGTACTGGTACTGTACTGGTATTGGTGCTGTACTGGTGCTGTACTGGTGCTGTACTGGTACTGTACTGCACTGGTACTGGTATTGGTGCTGTACTGGTATTGGTGCTGTATTGGTGCTGTACTGGTATTGGTGCTGTATTGGTGCTGTACTGGTATTGGTGCTGTACTGGTGCTGTACTGGTATTGGTGCTGTACTGGTATTGGTGTTGTACTGGTATTGGTGCTGTACTGGTGCTGTACTGGTACTGTACTGGTATTGGTGCTGCACTGGTATTGGTGCTGTACTGGTGCTGTACTGGTACTGGTGCTGTACTGGTATTGGTGCTGTACTGGTACTGGTATTGGTGCTGTACTGGTATTGGTGCTGTATTGGTGCTGTGCTGGTATTGGTGCTGTACTGGTACTGTACTGGTATTGGTGCTGTACTGGTACTGGTGCTGTACTGGTACTGGTGCTGTACTGGTGCTGTACTGGTACTGGTGCTGTACTGGTACTGGTGCTGTACTGGTATTGGTGCTGCACTGGTACTGGTATTGGTGCTGTACTGGTGCTGTACTGGTACTGTACTGGTATTGGTGCTGCACTGGTACTGGTGCTGTATTGGTGCTGCACTGGTACTGGTGCTGTATTGGTGCTGTACTGGTATTGGTGCTGTATTGGTGCTGTACTGGTATTGGTGCTGTACTGGTGCTGTACTGGTATTGGTGCTGTACTGGTGCTGTACTGGTATTGGTGCTGTACTGGTATTGGTGCTGTACTGGTGCTGTACTGGTACTGTACTGGTATTGGTGCTGCACTGGTACTGGTATTGGTGCTGTACTGGTGCTGTACTGGTACTGGTGCTGTACTGGTATTGGTGCTGTACTGGTACTGGTATTGGTGCTGTACTGGTATTGGTGCTGTATTGGTGCTGTGCTGGTATTGGTGCTGTACTGGTACTGTACTGGTATTGGTGCTGTACTGGTGCTGTACTGGTACTGGTGCTGTACTGGTATTGGTGCTGCACTGGTACTGGTATTGGTGCTGTACTGGTATTGGTGCTGTACTGGTGCTGTACTGGTACTGTACTGGTATTGGTGCTGTACTGGTATTGGTGCTGTACTGGTGCTGTACTGGTACTGTACTGGTATTGGTGCTGCACTGGTACTGGTGCTGTACTGGTACTGTACTAACTGTGTACGTGTGTGTGTGTGTGTGTGTGTGTGTGTGTGTGTGTTTCAGAGACGAGATGTACTACCGGGCCGTACACGGTACTGCAGTACTGTTCCTTCAGAACGACGCTGGTTTTGCGAAGTGGGCACCGACTCCGGAGCGTCTGGCTGAGCTGACGGCGGCGTACCGCCCCTCCCCCCCCGCCCCTCCTCCCTGTCCTCTCCTGGCCCCGCCCACACCACTCCTGGAGACAGAGACTCCGCCCCCAAGGCCGCTGATAGGCCGCAGAGTGCCGTGATGTCACCTGGAGGCCATGACAACAACAACAACAACAACACCACCACCACCACCACCACCACCACCACCACCACCACCACCAACAGCAGCAGCAGCAGCAGCAGCAGCAGTAGCAGTCCTCGAGACAAAGTGTCCGCTGTGTAGAGGGGGCAGGGCTTACCCTGTTTTAAAGTTTGTTTTCCTACATTAGTTTGTTCTGATCGTTGTCTCGTCTGTTCAGATTGTCCCTCACCAGCACCTGTAGCACACCTCAGCTTCTGTCCACATACCCACAATGCTGCCAGTGGGGGGGCAGCCTTTCTGTTCACTGTCCCCCCTCGGCTCTTCTGATTGGTCAAAGCTCTGACATCATTAGTGTCACAGTGCCCGTCGCTTAGCAACAAGCAGCGTGGCCAATAAGAAGACGTAGTTAATCAGTGAGCAATAAAACCTTCATTCACCTGTGATGTCACTGGAGGACTTCTGATTGGTCCCCCCAGAGACGGGGCTCGGTGATTGGTTGACAAGGCAGCTATCGTTTCTATTGGACTTTCTCTGTTGAGTCTCGCTTCAGGCCCCGCCTCCTCAGGATGGCCCGGCCAATCGGAGGAGGGCCCTGCTCAGTCCGCTCTGGACAGTGAGACACTTGGAGGCGGAGCCTTGGCAGTGAGGTCATACTTACTCGTGGAAGGAGGCGGAGTTAGAAGTGTGACTCAGGCAGACGTCTCCTCGGAGGTCCCGTCACTTCCTGTGTCTGAAACAGGAAGTGATCAGACAGTAGACATCCTGCCAGCAGGTGGCGCTGTGGGAGGAGTTCTTTCTGGTTCTCACAGACGGAACCACGTTAATCTTCTGCTGTTCTTCTTGTAACATAACAATAAAATAACTATTATGTTTTTCCCTAAAAACATTACGACTTTTTCTCTAAGATTTTCCATCTTGTTCGCTAGATTATTTTTTTCCGATGACAATGACGGGATAAGCTAACGGTGGAGTTGCACATGCTCAGTGCGGTCGTACTTCTGAATTACAGCCACTGAAAATACAAATATTTTTACTAAATTCTTCAACGACTGAGATGAACGTCTTGAGAGAAAATATTTTGAGAAAAATGTAATCTATTACAAGTAAAATGTTTAATAATTGAATACAAATAATTTGTTAATGACTCACTGACACTTGCACACGCTCAGTAGGTGGCTCCTCCCACTGTGTGACACCAGCAGCCTGTCTGTCCTGTGATTGGCTGACGGGCCGTCCAATCAGACGTCTGTGTGCAGCTGTAGATACTGTACAGTTAAACTGATCTGAAGTCTGTTGATGTTTCTGCTGTTAAATTGATTGAATCTTTTTTATTTGATTTAATTTAACTTTTTTAAAAGATGGCGTCAGTTTGTGTCTGATAGTTTGAAACTAAACCAAAGTGTTATTATAAATCTTTGTGTGTCGGAGTAGAAGTGTCTGTCTAACCAGCAGGATCCTCCTCTCTTTTATAATTCAGTTTTTTATCACTTGTGTTTTTGGGGTTTTGTTGTGCATGAAGCCTTTTGGACTCGTTGGTTTTCCTGAATGTTTCTGAGGCCGAGTGTTCGGCGCCGCAGCGTCGCACCAGCTGTTCGTTTTAAAGAGCTAGCAGTTTCCCTCTGCTTCCAGTCTTTGTGCTAAGCTAGGCTAATGTGGGACTGTAAAGTTCTCGCAATCATGAGATAAAACTCTTGAGGTCACACCAGTTTCCTCATAATAATTCTATCTATATTTTTATGATATGATAAATAAGTGTATTTATGATATTAAATGATAACCAGGAGTTCTTTATCCTGACCTCAAAATGAACTGAACTTCATTTACAGAAAAGACCCATTTTCTTGTCCTAATTTCAAGAAAACTATCTTTTGTTGTCTCTTAATTCTGAATAAAGATTCTTGAGTTTGGGATAAAAACTTTGATCAGTTTAAAAGCAGCTGTTTTCTTCCAGATGTTGTATTAACTGTGATAATAACCAGAAAGGTCTCCTAATGATCAGGTAACATGTTTGTAAGCACAGGAAGAAGCTTTAATTGGGACAGAAACTGCTGCTGAAACCATTCAGTCGCTGGTTCTCAAGAGTCAAGTTTGGACAAATGCTGAGTGTGGCGGCGCTGCAAGCGGCGGAAACTCGGCCGTGTTTGTGGCGGGGTCCTCACAGCTGGAGAATGTAAATACAGTCTGTCCTTCATTCTGCCTGCAGACAAACTGCAGCTTCACCTCCTCCCAGTAAAAATATATCCTACCAGTTACACAGCAGTGCAACTCGTCTCATTGATTTAATACTCGGATCAATAACAGGAACGTTCTCCTCATGTTCCACAGCAGCACACTGAATACATAATATAATCAATGTATACAGCAAGAAATAATCAATAGCTATCTTAATGGACTTATTGGGGCAACCTGATAATAAAGAGTTGCAGTAATCCAGCCTTGAAGTAACAAATGCATGGATTAGTTTTTCTGCATCTGTCTGTGATAGGATGTGTCTAATTTTTCTAATATTACGTAAATGAAAGAAGGCAGTCCTAGAGGTCTGCTTTATGTGGGAGTTAAATGACAAATCCTGATCAAAGATAACTCCAAGATTCCTGACAGTGCTGCTAGAGGCCAAGTTAATGCCATCTAGAGTAACTATATCTTTAGACAGTGAGTCTCTAAGGTTTTTGGGGCCAAGAACAAGAATTTCGTTTTTTTCTGAGTTTAACATCAGAAAATTGCAGGTCATCCAGGATTTTATGTCCTTAAGACATGTTTGTAATTTAGATAATTGATTAATTTCATTGGGTTTGATTGATAGATATAACTGCGTATCATCTGCATAACAGTGAAAGTTAATGGAGTGATTCCTAATAATGTTGCCTAAAGGGAGCATATATAAAGTAAATAGTATTGGTCCAAGTACAGAACCTTGTGGAACTCCATGACTAACTGTAGTATTTATTGAAGATTCATCGTTAACATGTACAAACTGCGAGCGATCTGATAAATATGACTTAAACCAGCTTAGTGCGGTTCCTTTAATGCCAATTTGATGCTCAAGTCTCTGTAAAAGAATATTATGGTCAATGGTGTCAAATGCAGCACTAAGATCTAATAATACAAGTACAGAGACAAGTCCATTGTCAGAAGCAATCAGAAGGTCATTATTAACTTTAATGTCAACATGATCTGCTCTGTTGCATCAGTCGCATCTTCTGTAAAATAATAAATAAACATAATGATAATAAACAACATTTATAAAACCGTTGTTTCACGTAAGTGGAGATGGTGCTTTTATTCTGAAGAGAATGACCGGAAGAGTCGTCGGTGTTCCTGCTAGCTTCACGCGAGCGGAAGAAGACAGCGGAGCTTCCTGGAAGCAGACAGACAGTTAGCCGTCAATATCAGGCGTTATTATCGATTATTGTCTGTTGATCAGGAGAGATCTGGTCCTGTCGTTGTCTGTCCGCGCGGTGACTTACGGGAACAAACCGGTAACCGGAAACATCCGCTGCGGAGAGAAAACACCGCGAGCTGCCGCAGTTAGCTGTTAGCCGCTGTTAGCTGTTAGCCGCTGTTAGCCGCTGTTAGCTGTTAGCCGCTGTTAGCTGTTAGCCGCTGTTAGCTGTTAGCCGCTGTTAGCTGTTGTGTTGCGCTGTTGCTGTTAGCCGCTGTTAGCCGCTGTTAGCTGTTAGCTGTTAGCTGTTAGCTGTTAGCCGCTGTTAGCTGTCTCGGTTGGATCCGGACCGGACCAGCACCGCTTCCACCATGGGGGCCCACCGCAGTGAGGGAGGCCGGGACTGGCTGGAACAGGACGGGCCGGAACAGGCGGAGCAGACCCCGGAAATATTTTTATATTGTGAGAACTTATATTGATTATTAGATATTGATCATTTTAGTACTGTATATTGATTATTAGATATTGATCATATTATAATACTGTATATTGATTATTAGATATTGATCATATTATAGTACTGTATATTGATTATTAGATATTGATCATATTATAATACTGTATATTGATTATTAGATATTGATCATATTATAATACTGTATATTGATTATTAGATATTGATCATATTATAGTACTGTATATTGATTATTAGATATTGATCATATTATAGTACTGTATATTGATTATTAGATATTGATCATATTATAGTACTGTATATTGATTATTAGATATTGATCATATTATAGTACTGTATATTGATTATTAGATATTGATCATATTATAATACTGTATATTGATTATTAGATATTGATCATATTATAGTACTGTATATTGATTATTAGATATTGATCATATTATAGTACTGTATATTGATTATTAGATATTGATCATATTATAGTACTGTATATTGATTATTAGATATTGATCATATTATAATACTGTATATTGATTATTAGATATTGATCATATTATAGTACTGTATATTGATTATTAGATATTGATCATATTATAGTACTGTATATTGATTATTAGATATTGATCATATTATATATTATTTTTTATTTAGTACTGTATATTGATTATTAGATATTGATCATATTATAGTACTGTATATTGATTATTAGATATTGATCATATTATAGTACTGTATATTGATTATTAGATATTGATCATATTATAATACTGTATATTGATTATTAGATATTGATCATATTATAGTACTGTATATTGATTATTAGATATTGATCATATAATACTGTATATTGATTATTAGATATTGATCATATTATAGTACTGTATATTGATTATTAGATATTGATCATATTATAGTACTGTATATTGATTATTAGATATTGATCATATTATAGTACTGTATATTGATTATTAGATATTGATCATATTATAATACTGTATATTGATTATTAGATATTGATCATATTATAGTACTGTATATTGATTATTAGATATTGATCATATTATAATACTGTATATTGATTATTAGATATTGATCATATTATAGTACTGTATATTGATTATTAGATATTGATCATATTATAATACTGTATATTGATTATTAGATATTGATCATATTATAATACTGTATATTGATTATTAGATATTGATCATATTATAATACTCTATATTGATTATTAGATATTGATCATATTATAATACTGTATATTGATTATTTTATATTGATCATATTATAATACTGTATATTGATTATTAGATATTGATCATATTATAATACTGTATATTGATTATAATATACTATAATACTATTGATTATTAGATATTGATCATATTATAATACTGTATATTGACTATAATGTACTATAATACTATTGATTATTATACATTGATCATATTATAATACTGTATATTGATTATAATATACTATAATATATAATACTATTGATTACTATACATTGATCATATTATAATACTGTATATTGATTATAATATACTATAATATATAATACTATTGATTACTATACATTGATCATATTATAATACTGTATATTGATTATAATATACTATAATATATAATACTATTGATTATTATACACTGATCATATTATAATACTGTATATTGACTATAATATACTATAATATATAATACTATTGATTATGATGTGTGTTTAGAAGCCGTGGAACCTGATGATCAAACACCGACAGATTCACAGACGAGGACGACGCTCACACATGACAGTGAGGTACTGATTCTACTGGTTCTTAATGGTTCTACTGATTCTACTGGTTCTTAATGGTTCTACTGGTACATACCGGTTCTAATTGGTTCTACTGGTTCTTAATGGCTCTACTGGTTCTTAATAGTTCTACTGGTTCTTAATGGTTCTACTGATTCTACTGGTTCTTAATGGTTCTACTGGTTCATACCGGTTCTTATTGGTTCTACTGGTTCTTAATGGTTCTTAATGGCTCTACTGGTTCTTAATAGTTCTACTGGTTCTTAATGGTTCTTAATAGTTCTTAATGGTTTTACTGGTTCTTAATAGTTCTACTGGTTCTCAGTGGCTGTCCTGGTCCTTAATGGTTCTACTGGTTCTTAATGGTTCTTAATGGTTCTACTGGTTCTTATTGGATCTACTGGTTCTCAATGGCTCTACTGGTTCTTATTGGTTCTACTGGTTCTCAATGATTCTTCTGGTTCTTAATGGCTCTACTGGTTCTTAATGGTTCTAATGGTTCTTAGTGGTTCTTAATGGCTCTACTGGTTCTTAATAGTTCTACTGGTTCCTAATGGTTCTACTGGTTCTTAATGGCTCTACTGGTTCTTAATGGTTCTACTGGTTTTTATTGGTTCTACTGGTTCTTAATGGCTCTACTGGTTCTTAATGATTCTACTGGTTCTTAATGGTTCTACTGGTTCTTAATGTTTGTTAATGGCTCTACTTGTTCTTAATAGTTCTACTGGTTCTTAATGGTTTTACTGGTTCTTATTGGTTCTACTGGTTCTCAATGATTCTACTGGTTCTTATTGGTTCTATTTCTTATGGTTCTACGGTTCTTAATGGTTCTACTGGTTCTTAATGTTTCTGGTTCTATGGTTTCACTGGTTCTTAATAGTTCTACTGGTTCTTAATGGTTTCACTGGTTCTCATTGGTTCTACTGGTTCTCAATGATTCTACTGGTTCTTATTGGTTCTACTGATTCTTAATTTTTCTACTGGTTCTTAATGGTTCTACTGGGTCTTAATGGCTGTACTGGTTCTTAATGGTTCTACTGGTTCTTAATGGCTCTACTGGTTCTTATTGGATCTACTGGTTCTCAGTGGCTCTACTGGTTCTTATTGGTTCTACTGGTTCTCAATGATTCTACTGGTTCTTAATGGCTCTACTGGTTCTTCATGGTTCTACTGGTTCTTAGTGGTTTTTATTGGTTCTACTGGTTCTTAATGGCTCTACTGGTTCTTAATGGTTCTACTGGTTTTTATTGGTTCTACTGGTTCTTAATGGCTCTACTGGTTCTTAATGATTCTACTGGTTCTTAATGGTTCTACTGGTTCTTAATGTTTGTTAATGGCTCTACTTGTTCTTAATAGTTCTACTGGTTCTTAATGGTTTTACTGGTTCTTATTGGTTCTACTGGTTCTCAATGATTCTACTGGTTCTTATTGGTTCTACTGATTCTTAATGGTTCTACTGGTTCTTAATGGTTCTACTGGTTCTTAATAGTTCTACTGGTTCTTAATGTTTTCACTGGTTCTCAGTGGTTCTACTGGTTCTCAATGATTCTACTGGTTCTTATTGGTTCTACTGATTCTTAATTTTTCTACTGGTTCTTAATGGTTCTACTGGGTCTTAATGGCTGTACTGGTTCTTAATGGTTCTACTGGTTCTTAATGGCGCTACTGCTTCTTAATAGTTCTACTGTTTCTTAATAGCTTTACTGGTTCCTAATGGTTCTACTGGTTCTTAATGGCTCTACTGGTTCTTAATGGTTCTAATGGTGCCTAATGGTTCCCAATGGTTCTTAATTGTTCTGCTGGTTTTTAGTGGCTCTAATGGTTCTTAATAGTTCCACTGGTTCCTAATGGTTCTTAATAGTTCTACTGGTTCTAATGGTGCCTAATGGTTCCCAATGGTTCTTAATTGTTCTACTGGTTCTTAGTGGCTCTAATGGTTCTTAATAGTTCCACTGGTTCTAATGGTTCCTAATGGTTCTCAATGGTTCTCAATAATTATACTGGTTCCTAATGGTTCTACTGGTTCTAAATGGCTGTACTGGTTCTTAATGGTTCTACTGGTTCTTAATGGCACTACTGGTTCTCAATAGTTCTACTGGTTCTTATTGGTTCTACTGGTTCTCATTGGTTCTACTGGTTCTTAATGGTTCTTCTGGTTCTTAATGGTTCTACTGGTTATAATGGCTCTACTGGTTCTCAATGGTTCTACTGGTTCATAATGGTTCTACCTGTTCTTAATGGTTCTACTGGTTCATAATGGTTCTTAATAGTTCTACTGGTTCTAATGGTTCCTAATGGTTCTACTGCTTCTCATGGTTCTTAATGGTTCTACTGGTTCTCATGGTTCCTAATGGTTCTACCGGTTCTTAATGGCTCTAATGGTTCCTAATGGTTCTTAACAGTTCTACTGGTTCTTTATGGTTCTCAATAGTTCTACTGGTTCTTAATGGTTCTACTGGTTCCTAATGGTTTTTAATAGTTCTACTGGTTCTTATTGGTTCTACTGGTTCTTAATGGTTCTACTGGTTTCTAATTGTTCGTAATAGTTCTACTGGTTCTTAATTTCAATTCAATTCAATTCAATTTTATTTGTATAGCGCCAATTCATAACAGAAGTTATCTCAGGACACTTTTCAAATAGAGCAGGTCTAGACCGAACTCTTTAAAACATTAATTACAGAGACCCAACAGTACCACCATGAGCAAGACCTTGGAGACAAGGGCAAGGAAAAACTGCCTGTTAAAAGGCAGAAACCTAGGACAGATCCTCCGGCTCTAGGTGGGTGGTCGTCTGTCTCGACCAGTTGGGGTGAGAGAGAGAGAGACAGAGAGAGACAGACAGACAGACAGACAGACAGGTGCACAGCAACAACAGTATTGGCAATGGCAATCTAGCAGGACCATGGCAGGAGGCTCCACCAGGATCGACAAGAACCTGCGAGATGAGAAAGCACAAGAACTCCGGGGAAGAAGTGAAGTTAGTAACATGCATTAATGGGACATGAATGAGTGCAGAAAGAGAGAGGAAGGGAGGAGCTCAGTGCACCATGGGAAATCCCCCGATAGTCTAGGCCTATAGCAGCATAACTAAGGGATGGTTCAGGACTCACCTGATCCAGCCCTAACTATAAGCTTTATCAAAGAGGAATGTCTTAAGCCTACTCTTGAATGTGGTGAGGGTGTCTGCCTCCCGAACCACAACTGGAAGCTGGTCAATGGTTCTACTGGTTCCTAATGGTTCTTTTTGGTTCTTAATGGTTCTGACTGTGTCAGTGGACGACCCACTGTTCGCGCATGAACCAGTCGAACTGCTAACAGCACATCTCCACTCTGCTGAAAGGTCAAAGGTCAACACTAGTACCGCTGCGCTAACGTTCACAGTGAACTCTGAAATCTGGAACATTGACTGTACACTGAATGTTATTTTATGTTTATGTGTAGTCATACTGGTTTAACTGGTCTGTGTGTGTGTGTGTGTGTGTGTGTGTGTGTGTGTGTGTGTGTGTGTGTGTGTGCGCAGTTACACTGATCCTCAGGTGTCCATGGACCTGCTGAGGGCGGTGCTTCAGCCCAGCTTCAACGATGACATCATGGCTGTGTTCAGGAAGTACCATAAGGTCAGAGGTCACTTTTTTACAAGCAATGACTCTTGAATGTTGTTTGAACAGGTGTATAAAGGTGTGAACAGGTGTATAAAGGTGTGAACAGGTGTATAAAGGTGTGAACAGGTGTACAAAGGTGTGAACAGGTGTACAAAGGTGTGAACAGGTGTACAAAGGTGTGAACAGGTGTACAAAGGTGTGAACAGGTGTATAAAGGTGTGAACAGGTGTACAAAGGTGTGAACAGGTGTACAAAGGTGTGAACAGGTGTATAAAGGTGTGAACAGGTGTACAAAGGTGTGAACAGGTGTAAAAAGGTGTGAACAGGTGTATAAAGGTGTGAATAGGTGTGAACAGGTGTATAAAGGTGTGAACAGGTGTGAACAGGTGTATAAAGGTGTATACAGGTATATACAGGTGTACAAAGGTGTGAACAGGTGTATAAAGGTGTGAATAGGTGTGAATAGGTGTGAACAGGTGTGAATAGGTGTGAACAGGTGTGAATAGGTGTATAAAGGTGTATACAGGTATATACAGGTGTACAAAGGTGTGAACAGGTGTACAAAGGTGTGAACAGGTGTACAAAGGTGTGAACAGGTGTATAAAGGTGTGAACAGGTGTACAAAGGTGTGAACAGGTGTAAAAAGGTGTGAACAGGTGTATAAAGGTGAGAACAGGTGTATAAAGGTGAGAACAGGTGTATAAAGGTGTGAACAGGTGTATAAAGGTGTGAATAGGTGTGAACAGGTGTATAAAGGTGTATAAAGGTGTATACAGGTATATACAGGTGTATAAAGGTGTGAACAGGTGTACAAAGGTGTGAACAGGTGTATAAAGGTGTATAAAGGTGTATACAGGTATATACAGGTGTACAAAGGTGTGAACAGGTGTACAAAGGTGTGAACAGGTGTATAAAGGTGTGAATAGGTGTGAACAGGTGTGAATAGGTGTGAACAGGTGTGAATAGGTGTATAAAGGTGTATACAGGTGTACAAAGGTGTGAACAGGTGTACAAAGGTGTACAAAGGTGTGAACAGGTGTACAAAGGTGTGAATAGGTGTGAACAGGTGTATAAAGGTGTATAAAGGTGTATACAGGTATATACAGGTGTACAAAGGTGTGAACAGGTGTATAAAGGTGTATACAGGTGTTGATCTTCTCCTGTCGTTGCAGTTCTTTGAGAAAGCGGCAGAGAACGTGAAGGAGAACGTTGGTGACGACGTTCAGACTGATCAGCTGATCAAAGAGTCCTGCAGGAACGTTCTGGAACATGTGAGATCACTTCCTGTTGTCAGACCGCACTTCCTGGCTGTGTCTCATTCCGCCTACTTGCACACTTCAAACATTTAGTTTTAAGTGTATAGTGGAGATAACACAGAGAGTCAGTGCACTGAAAGTACCTGGATGACCCCTAACAACGGTCAAACAATTCAGAGTGAAATGATGGACCCTACTCGCACTGAACGGACGCCATCCTGACTCCAGAGCGGAAGGGGAGGGAGCATTGGGACGAGCACGTTATAAATGAACTCTATCGTATAAAGTAACAGCGGTAATACGAGACGGTTTACTGTCGTCTGACGCATTACTTACAGGTCCTCACTGACTGAAGCCGACAGAATCATTTGGCGAGTTACCTGTTAATGCTACCTAGCTACCTCGCTACCCGAACCTGCGTTGGCGTCGGAGGCGGCGTAGTTTCCACACGCTGTGAACTGAGCGGGAAATTAACCTGCAGAAAAATGTCTGTAAATAAAAGCCGGCATATATTTTTGGCGGGCTGGAAAATCGCGTTCATGTGTGTCGCGTTCGTCACGCTCGTCATTTCGGGTGTTCTAACATCAGAGTTCCTTTGGGACAACAACCATCGACAGTGGCTCTACGGCAGGAAGTGGTCGGTGCACATTAGCACTGTACTGACGGAAGTATGCAGAATGAGACACAGACCCTGTCTGACCACACTCTGAACATCTGTCTGTCATCAACAGGCCAAACAGCTGTTTCCTGAGGGGGAGGTGAAGAGGACGGGGCCAGAGGCCGCCATCAAGGTAGGAACAGTCCAATGGGCGTCCAGAACATATTGGAACCTGGTCCACGTCTGATCTGGTTCTTTGTGTTCTCTCAGAGGTCCAGACCTGCTGATGAAGACTACAGTCAGAGAGGAAGCCCCCTCCCCAAGAAGGTACTGTGACCTCCCTACAGGTGTTTTTATTCAAAGACAGGTGAGACAGGTACACCTGTACACTGAACGGCACTTAAACTAGACCGCTGGAACCAGACAGGTGTGACAGACAGGTGAGAGACAGGTATCATTAACTTGGTCTCTGTCTTCCTCAGAGGAGGACTCGTCCAGGTGCGGCGTCCGTCTCTTCTGATCGACCTCACACCTTCTCCACCCAGTGAGTATCTGGCAGGTAACAGTGACGTCATCATCAGGTAACAGTGATATCATCGTCAGTCCCAGCTGACCCACCTGTCCCTGTCTGTCCTCAGAGTGAAGCTCAAGTCTGACCCCATCAAGAGGGAGGGACCAAAGGTGAGTCATCATCAGACAGGTAACTGTGTCACATCCAGTGTACTGTTAGCATTAGAGCTAACTCTAGCATTAATGTGTACAATGTGTGTTTCAGTGGGATCCGTCCAGACTGAACGAGAGCAGCACGTTTGTTCTCGGCTCCAGAGCCAACAAGTGAGTGACAACCTGTAGTGTCAGTCTGGAGGCGGAGTTTAACGTTATTGATGCAGCTAAACAGGAAGTAAGTCATGGCGTTGTTGTGATGTCATTTTGCAGGGCGCTGGGGATGGGTGGGACGAGAGGACGAATCTACATCAAACACGCTGACCTGTTCAAGGTAAACACACAGTCTGCTCACCCTGTTGGTGGCGAGTAAACAAACAAACAACACATACTGAAGATGAGTCTGCTGGTTTCACACTGCGACAGCAGTCAGTGAGGATGATGAGGATGAAGGTGAGGAGTCCTCAGTGTGCTTTATTGTTGTTGTCAGTATGCAGCAGATGCGAAGGATAAGCAATGGTTGGCAGAGAGACACCACATGAGAGCGACAGGAGGGAAGATGGTAAGAAACATCGACACACACACACTCACATATAAACATACAACATATATACATACAACATATAAACATACAACATATATACATACAACATATATACATACAACATATAAACATACAACATATATACATACAACATATATACATACAACATATATACATACAATTCATTTTATTTGTATAGCGCCAATTCATAACAGAAGTTATCTCAGGACACTTTTCAAATAGAGCAGGTCTAGACCGAACTCTTTAAAACATTATTTACAGAGACCCAACAGTACCACCATGAGCAAGACCTTGGAGACAAGGGCAAGGAAAAACTGCCTGTTAAAAGGCAGAAACCTAGGACAGATCCTCCGGCTCTAGGTGGGTGGTCGTCTGTCTCGACCAGTTGGGGTGAGAGAGAGAGAGAGAGAGAGAGAGAGAGAGAGAGGCAGAGAGAGGGCAGAGAGCGAGAGAGACAGACAGACAGACAGACAGGTGCACAGCAACAACAGTATTGGCAATGGCAATCAAGCAGGACCATGGCAGGAGGCTCCACCAGGATCCATAAGAACCTGCGAGACGAGAAAGCACAAGAACTCCGGGGAAGAAGTGAAGTTAGTAACATGCATTAATGGGACATGAATGAGTGCAGAAAGAGAGAGGAAGAGAGGAGCTCAGTGCACCATGGGAAATCCCCCGATAGTCTAGGCCTATAGCAGCATAACTAAGGGATGGTTCAGGACTCACCTGATCCAGCCCTAACTATAAGCTTTATCAAAGAGGAATGTCTTACTATACAGTAATACACTTACTGTTAACAACCTGAACACCTCACAGTGACCCGTGTGTGTGTGTGTGTGTGTGTGTGTGTGTGTGTGTGTGTGTGTGTGTGTGTGTGTTGTGTTCAGGCGTACCTGCTGATCGAGGAAGACATCCAGGATTTGTCTCGCAGCGACGAGTACAAGTGAGTGTGTCGTGGTCAATGCTTCCTCTCCACGGTAAGGCATCTGTCTGTGGTAACCATGGTAACACCTGTGTGTGTTGCATTCAGGGACTGTCCAGACGTGAGGATGGACGAGTTGAAGCCGTTCTCGGTTCCTGTGTGGATGGTGGAGAAGATGCAGAGAGCCATGGAGGCTCAGAGAGACGCTGACCTCTGACCCTGTCTCACATTACACCCCCCACAGACCAATCACAGTTATCATGTGACCACCAGGCTCTGATCTGATTGGCTGCTTCTGTTGTTTTTACTTTTCCCGTTTTTAAAAAAAATGCAATAAAAACTTTGTGACTGACGTTTGCTTCCAGCCGCTCGATGTCTGTTTATTATTCATCTTTATTGATCCCAGCTTGGGATCAATATATCTATCTATCTTATAAATTAAAAATATTACATTCCTTTTGGAACTTTGATTGTGAAACAAAACTAGTAAAAATGACTTAATGTTCCCTGTGAACAAGAGCTGTATTAGAACGATGGCCAATTATCAGGATCAATAATCACCCACCTTCCTGCAGTTATTGATCAACAGAATATGAAATATACAGGAGATACTGCCATCAATAGTTATCAGTGGCTCTCCAAGTTCAGGGACTTCTGTCAATGTAA